CATAATATATATATATATATATATATGTATGTATTCTTTTTCATCAAAAAAAAAAGGTTTATTAAAACGCGTATATATTTAAAGTTTTATGTACATTAATATACATATATCTGTATATAAAAAATGAATCTTAGAATAAATAGCTTAATTAGAAAATTCTATATGAATTTACAATTGTGAAAACAATTCGATAATTTAGTCTATAAAAAAAAACTGAATAAAAAAATATGTCGATAAAATGCGATTGGTTATTTCGAGTCGATAATAAAAGAAAATCGAGCCATTAAAAAAAAATGACGCAAGATTCAGACGAAAAGAAAAATTATGAAAAAAAATAAATATAATAAAAACGTGAAATCATTTAAAACTGGTTAAAACCAGAGTTCAAATTTACAGGAAAGAAATCGGAACAATCGGATAAAGGACTTGTAAGGGGAGTAGCCACGAATTGGCTTGACACGGGTTGATTTTGCACAATTTCGTTTGTTGACGCGTATTCGTTATTTTGTAAATCAGGGGATAATATACCCAAATGATTAGATAATTCGATAAGATCATCAGTTTCCATGGCATTGAAATTTAACATAACAGGAGGAGATTGGGTTACGGCAATATCAGAGATCTTTTGCACCAAATTTTCCAAGTTAACGATTCGCTCAGTTAACAAATTAATGAATTTATCATCGTAGTCACAACTTTTACATTTTTGTGGTTTATTGACCTTTTTGATAGATCTTTTCTTTGGTTTTCGTGGATTTGGAGGCAAGCTACGCCTTACGGTCATTACATGAGTTAGGCCAGTAGGATCAACATAGCCTTCTTTAACAGCTAGAGTTTTTCTACCTCTATTAGACTTCTTTAAAATTGGACTTTGTGGATAAGGTTCAAAAGAGGCAGTTGATGAAGAATTCATATTCATTACGTTAAATTAATTTTATATCTGAGAGATCTTAATCAGAACCACACGAGCGGATCTGACGAACAGCGACATGGCATTCGTCTTATATAGTCGCGAGAACAGGTTTAAAGGTCTTTAATTGTCAATTGTCAAATATGAGTCATCGACATTACATCATTCGATAACTCGTGTTGTTCATTGTAAACATGTGAATCGTGTGACTTGAATTAAATGTATTTCTAAATTTGGATGTTCATTGTTTGTGTTTCAAGTAAGTTTCATATGTGCATACGTATTGTATTACGTATACACATACTAATACGTAATTATTTTTTATTTTTGTATTGTTTTTTGGACAATATGGTGCAAACTCAATTCGACTCTGACAAATCAGCGACCAAATTTATTATGAGGATAGAATTAACAAAGAAAACCGTTTAATCGTTTGGAACTCGTCCCACCGTTTAAATGACAATAACGTTAACGATATTGGTTGAAATCATTGTAGTAGTAAATTTATTAAATTTATTGGTAGTTCAATCAATGAATCACATTGAAGAAATAGAATCTTTCCTAAAAGACGAATAAAGAATTCATAGGAATAAAGTATTTTACAGTAAGAACATTTGATAAGATCATGTTACATTATGTCTACATTATGTCTTATAGAAAACATCCATTCATTTTTTCAAACCTTTTCTTGTAACAAAAAACGATTTTTAATTTTTTCCGAGAATTCTGACGTAACTATTAATCAATTTTTAGATACATAAATATTTTTCTTTTGCGCAATCAAAACATTAGTAGATCATTTAATATTTAGTATAAACCCATATTTTTTATTATTATCGTCATCATTACTATTGTTATAATTTTTAGTACATTGTGCATAGAAATAAAGTTTCTTGCCTACATTATTTGTTTACTATTTTAAAGTTCAATTGTCATTCATTTTTAAATTACATTTGATTTTAATTGGAGCATAATTGGAACATAATACGCCCAATTCGGTATATACCGCCTTTTGTCATTATCTTGAATGCTATTCTAGAATATTATACAGAATTTGTTATACAAATAAACAAGGAAATCGAAATGGAAACTATTGTAAGTCGGCGTTGATCACCAGTAATTTTGAATTGAGCTTATAAATTTCAGTGAAAAAATCTATAAAACCAATGTTTCAATCTATGACCATTGTAAAGTTTAGAACATGACATAGGATCCTTTTATTTTTAAGATTTATATTAAGAAATATGTTATCCAATATTCAATAGTATTCAATAGTATATATTCAATAATATTCAATAATATTCAATAAATATTCAATAAATATTCAATAAATATTCAATAGTATTCAGTGCAATATATTTGTCAAAGTAAAACAGTTTTAACTGCGTAAATGTGTACGCACCTTATTTTTCATAATGACAACCAGGAAAAATTATACACAATATGTATTTTAGTCAAAAATATATAGGTACTGTAACACGCCTATTGTTGTATATTGAATTAAAACCAAAATAGGATGTATTATCAAAAATACCATAAATGGTTGTATACAAAAACAAATAAGTATGTATTCAATGTTAATATTTTTGATAAAAAGCACCGTACGTACAGTATTTTTTTTCTGACATGTATATGTACCTCCCTCGGTTCTATACTTTATAGATGGCGCAGTAACTATTGTGGTATCTATGAAATTATTTTGGTATTTGATTTGAAGTTACCGAAAATATTTTGGCAATTTAATATTGCACAATAGTTTTAAAGACCAAATTTTGATTTATATTCTGATACATGAACATGATGATATCATACTTGGGTATACAGACATACACGAGTGTCATTATACTAAAACGAACTTGGAGTGTACACGTGTCGGAGAAATACGGTAATTTCGGTAAAACAGGGTAAGCCCGCATCAAATCCCGCCTTGATAACCACATTAGAGTGGAACTTGAGTTAGTACTTTTTATATATATATAATGTTAACAGATTTCATCTTTGTGTAATCTGCACAGCGGTCTAACCAGAATTTATAAAGGGCGGGTTTCACCTTGTGTTATATAATTTTGACAACTATAAGAAACTAATTTTGGCTGTATTAATTATTGGTTAATAGAGGCAATTTAGGCACACATGGATAATGAAAGGAGTGACCTCAATATACGGTATAATACATAGTAAAAAAAGTTTATATAGTAAAAACGGTTTCTAAAATGTTCATTTATAATCAGTGGTCCAAATGTTTGAAAAAATGTATTTTATTAATAAAGATTCGGTTAACATTGATTCTTGTTACACGACAAGTAAGTATATACTATATATATATATATAATAATACAGTAATTAATTGAAGCAAAGCCATAGACTAGCTAATTTTCGTGATGTTCAATTTCCGGCTCAATTAAGTCTAATCTAGATTCAATTTCTGGATGCTAAACCCTAAGCCATGTTCGATACCAAATAAGGATTAGAGCCGGTTTAACCACTTATAAATTGTTTCATTTGATCATGTAAGTCATAATTACTTTAATTTGGCTGAATTAAACGGTTAATTAAAAATTTTTTAGCCTCTAATATAGAAATCTTAGTTCGAAAAATAAAAAATAAAAGCTTTTAATACTTTTAATAGTCATAATAATGATAATGATTGACCTTTAATATTTTTATCTAGTTAGACTCGAGCATCATTAATGGGTATGAGTACAGTTATTGATATTATTATATGAACTGGGAAGGATACAACCTTCATTTTTATGACTATTCTGCTCAATAGTCCGATCTGCAATTTCCCTTATGTCTTTCTGGGCAATTAAATTCACAAATCTCAAGGTTTAACATTATCGCAAAATATTTATCTTTACAAAAATCATATAGAAAATTTTTATAATAAATTAATCATTAATATTTACTATAAATGTCAGAAATATATATATATAGCATATAGCACAAACACTAAAGCTTTTTTATTAAATATAATATTTTAAAATTCATATCATACAGTACATTAAATGCAACTACTATATCTAGTATCTAGTATCTAACATTCTACATAAAGTTCTTCAAAGAATCAACCATTTTCATGAATAAATATTTAATTCACATGGCAAAGTTAAAATTTATTAATCTTACACAATGAAGAATTCAAACTCAATTGCTAAGCACCGAATTTTTGTTACACTGATCACGTTATCATTACATTATATATTATCATCATATGCGATATTCGTCTACGGTAATTTCTCAGGCTCAGGTACTTTTTTTTAAAGTACAAACACATGAAAATCTATTAAAGGGTTCAATTCACGTTTCTAGTTTTACCTCGACAATATCTCACATCTACAAAGTGGACATTAAAATTGATGTACATACCTAACGCTAAATGATGATGATAACCATGTGCGCATTCCAAATTAGTTTTCTAGATTTGTTAAAACAACAATATTCAAAAATTATATCATTGTAACCACGAAGATAGAAAGTATGATATATCGTGATTTCCATTTTGGACGATCGATCAATTCTAAGGAAGTTCATGCAAGTAAATCGTATTTCCAAAATTAGTTTTACCATAAAATATCCGTTTTTTATATAATCAAAAAGAAATAATGCTTTATTATAATGCTTTATTACATATGACAATGATTATGACAATGGTGAAATTAATTTCTTTGATTTTTTTTTCAGGTGAAATTTTTAGTTCCTTTTTTTGCATGTGAAAATTTAGTAATTCTTTATATAAAATATAAAATTTATATGCAATAAATTACTTCATTTTTTTGGTTGAATATTTTTAAATTGGTTCTTGCAAAACATTCCGTAAAACGATTCCTGAAACTTTGTTTGCATTTAGGTTTCAAAAAATGGATTAAAGTTCACAATAGCTGTGCTGATGCAATAATGAATCTTTCTATCTTGTGTTTTTCTCTTTTCAAATCATTTACTATATCGTTTACTGTCGGTGTTTCAGTTTTTTTTCATAGTTAGGCTAGAATTTAGAGTTAGTGTTTATAATAAAAGAGTTTTAGTAGAGTTTATATTTTCAAATTAAGGTCCCAGATTTCAGCATCATCCCCGACATTTACTATGTAATTTACTATGTTATGCAAATGTATGCACAACCATTATATTAATATTGATTAGACCTTTGTTGAAAACCAATAAATAACATGAATAATGATATAATCAAACTATTCTCACGTATCGGGATGCGATTAATTTAATGCTTAAATATTACGATAAAGTCGATAAATTCGATAAATTAAAATATTAATTTCAATTGATGCTTAACGTTAAGTAAACACCTTTATTTACCGTTTAAGGATTAGTACATATATTTTTACAAAATCGAAAAGAATGATGAATTAACAAAAGAATAAAGTACATTCTACAACAATTCCAAGTTCTGATTCATTGTTTTCAATAAACCACAACAATAAAAACCAATTTTCAGTTTCTATGTTTCCTTTTTCAAACTTCACAAATTTTCACATATTGTTATAACAGCAAAAATATCCAATGTAATTTTGAATACTAGTGATAAAATAAACAAAACATTGAATATAAATCTCTTGCCTTTGTCTATTTGCATTTGAACAACTATTTTTTTCTAACCAATCAACGAAAATGTTCAACCAACGTGCACTACTTTGTAAAATAAGGATGTCTAGGCATCCATCGTTTGTCAAATGGAATGATAAATACTCTTGATCAGTTAAACGATCTTCCGATAATTTAAAGTTTTATCTTTGTTGTGGGTATCTATTCTAATGGAAACTCTTAATTCCTTAGTTTGTGACTTACAACCATTACATTATACTTTATCTTTAAGGATTTTCTCTAGATATATGAATATTTAATTTATACATTAGAAATCAACCAATGTAGTTCATTTAATGTTTTTAATAACTAAAGGCCTTTCTGGTCGAATAAATGGATCTTTATTCCAACATTTCTTGTATAATTTAACATATTGGACGGGTGTGTTTACTACTGGAGTTTCTCTAAATTCATCTAACATTTACATCTTCCAAAAACTTTTAGACGGAGTCAATAGTTTGAATGGTGGTTGGCCGCTTGAGATCTCCCAAAAAATAACTCCAAGACTATAAATGTCGGATTTTTTATCATATTTTGAGTCTTTTAAACATCGAGGATCTACATATGCCGGCATCCCCTTAATGTCTGAGCATAACAGTACTGAAACTTCATTAATCTGTCTCGACATACCAAAATCTGTAATCTTAATTTGCTTGTTATAGACGAGAACGTTTTTGGAATGCTATCAAAAAAAAAATAAAAAAGATTGATTGGTAATTTAAATAACTAAAATTATACGAAGGTAAAATACATATATGCTTACTAAGTCACCATGAACTATATTTTTAGTATGTAGAAACAAAAGACCTTGTGCAGTTTCCTCAGCCATGCGAAATTTATCAATCCATTGTAGACCTTTGAAATTTTCTCTTAAATAATCCCGTAAATCTTTATCAGCATATTGTAAAACCATAAAATAATGTTCTTTTGAAGGATCTATTTTTTTTTTTGTGATAATTTAACGGTAGGGTTAATAACGTCTTAATGATTGGCTAGTAAATAGTATCATTCGATTGATTGAAGTGATTTTTATATTAGCCAATCAACACATCTTTTTTTTCATGGTGATGAGCATGTGATGTTGGGGTGTTACACGGACTAATTAATCAAAACTATGTCAGCTAGCTATGTAATTTATCATATTGCAGATTTTTTTATGTTACACAAATGCAAACAAATTTTACACTTCAATTTATTGATTTATGGTAATAATAAAAGATTTATAATTCAATTATTAATTTATTGTTACTTATAACAATAAAAGATTATTTATAACCAAATAAACTTCAAACAATTTATTAGCTCTTTCTTCATGATTATTATAACTGTCATTAAGATTTTCTTTAACTGAAATTGAATCATTTAAATGTTTTGTTTGCTGTTGATGTTTTTTTATTCTAAGTTCTGTTAAATTCAAAGAATTACAACCAATATTGGCAAGTAGTAAACTTGAAAGTTGTAATTTTAATTGTTGAAGATTACTTGTCATATTTGAATGAGTTTTAAGATTCCACTTATTGAACAAGTCTTCAACTTGTTGTTAGTACATTAAAATGTACCAGATTTGATTTTTTACAAATTTATGCATCTTTGAAAAATGATATAAGGATTTTTTCTTTTGAATAAATTGATAAAATTTGTAACTGAATTCAGAATTGAGTAATGTAATTGATAATCTGAAATCATTAAATTTAGATATTTTAATATCTATCTCAATAAATTTTATATAACATAATTCTCATAATGATAGTACTAAAAACCAAGTTATTCTTAAAATAATATGAACAAAATTTTGTGCAAACTCCTGTTCATATTTTTATTATTCTTAAAATAACATGAACAAAGTTTCATGCAAACTCCTGTTCATATTTTCATTATTCTTAAAATAACATGAACAAAGTTTTATACAAACTCCTGTCTATACTTTTCACCTAATAAACAAACACTGAGTGATAGATATGATTAGCAATTTAACTATTTTTAATAAAGCTCTAATGCTTTTTGTATACCATATTTCAAATCTGAAATAAGCTTGACAAGTTGATTATTATTTAACAAATTAAGATTTTTAAATAATTTTTTTCTAAAAAATAAGTAGGGATCTTTAGTAATATTTTAAATTCTCATAATAGTACAAATTACAAAGTCAGACATCTGATGCACATGTTAGCCAGGAGGAAGATTTATTGATAAATTATTTTTGTTTTATAACTGTAATTCAAAATCATAATTTATAAAAAATTTAACCATAGAGTAATATAAATCTTTTCTAAAATAAATAAATAATTTAATTTGAATATTTAAGATTGAATTATGAAGTCAGATTTAAAATAATTCCTATTTTTTTATATATAATTTTGGCATATTATTTCTGATTTTAAGACAAAATAAAAAACATTCAATAAATTTGATATGAATATCTCACCACTCTAAGTATTGTTCAGCATACTTTAATTCATAAAGCTATCTTAATTGAATAAGTTGCTGGTACTTTGTTAATTGATAATTGAATCATTCTTTATAAAGTTTATAAATATAATCAGATCATATTCTTATTGGCTTGTACTTATTACTTTTATTGTAACTATCATAAAAATTTTAAGTCAAATATAAAAGATTTGCTGGAAACTCTTTTTGTAAAAACTCTGTAATACTAGATAATTTATCAAAAGCAGTCTTCTTAAAATTGTTTATTATAATATGTGCTATATGAATTTTATATAAAACTTGAAATAAGTTTGTATTACTCAACTGATTAAACAATAAAATTGCTCCTTCAACTTTGTTACTTATATAGTTGGTATTGTTAGAGACATATACATAACATTGTTAAGAATTTAATTTAAAATAACTAAATGTATCAATAATTGCTTGAGCAACTGCTTTGACTATACAAGCATTTAAATTCTTCATTTCTAATATTTGAAAATCTGGTTTGTTATTTTGAGTATTCTAGAATATAATACATAATACAAATATTTTATACTAACCTTAAGTCGATTCATCTACTATTATACCAAATATAAAATATTCTAAACAAATACTTGAATTACAAATTTTGTTTATATGAATTTCACTTATTTCTTTATTTTATCTAATAATGAATTGTGCTGAAATTGGTAATAATAAGTCTTCTTTAATTAAAAAACCTAATATTGAATTTTAACTTGACTTTAAAATAATATTTAATTGATTTGTAATAATTGTGTAGCTAAGGTTATAAAGTGAGTTGTATATTCATATTTATTTTTTATAAGAATTACTTAAATGCTTGCTTTTAAACTTTTAGTATCTACAGGCAGTAGTCTTCAAGCTGCAACACATATTTTTGATATATAATGACATTGTTTATATTCATAATATAACAATTTTTCTATCAATTGTTTAACTTTATAACTCTTTTTTTCATTTGAATATTCTAATTAAGTTATTTTTTTTTGAAGTACCTTATTTTTTTGAATTAATAAGTCTAAATTCTAACCTATTTTATAAAGAAATGAGCTTATAAAGCTTAAAGCTTTATTTTATAAGAATGATAAAAGCAAATTACCCTTATTGGGTTCTTTAGAGTATTATATTGTATCTAATAAATGAACTTCAGATTTTAATTGATTGTCAAACAGTTGTTTAACCTTATCAATTAATTTTTGACAAAGTGTTGTTTAGTTTATTTTTTTGTTATAGTATTAATTGATTGAATGATGCTTTGATAAACTAATTGTAATTTGTTATCATCTTTTTTAATTAATATTTTATTAATGTCTTGAATTCATTTTTTATGCTGCACAACTTTTCATGCATTTGCTAATACTTGACCTGCTTTACATGTTTTAAGTTTATATTTAAATATCAGTAGCATTTTATTTATTATTATAACTAATTTGTCTTAAATAATAAAATTTTCTAATTATTGATATAAGTGGATAAATGATTTATACAAGTTTTGATATTATTTTATTATGCATTTACTTTTAACTTTTACAATATTCTTAATAATGGTTTCTCTCTTTATAATCAGACACTACTACACTATTTATTAATTATATATTTTTATTTAAGATAGAAGTTAAAGTTTAATCTTACTGATTGAATCTCTTATTTATTTAATTTTATTGATCACATTATTAATCTGTTACTTTTAAATTATACTATTGCTATTGTTTTATAACAAATTATAATGATTTACCTCTATATACTTTAAATTGATCAGATATTATTAATTTATATAAAAATCAATATTTAGATATTTTAAAATATATTAACTTATTATATAAGCATGCAATTATCTAGAAATTTTCACTAGTTATTTGTATAAAGGCAAAAAATAAAGCCAAGTTTTTATTTTTCTATTTATATATAGGTTTTGAACATTTACCTTATATAATATTTGAAAATTTATTAATTAGAACAAAAAGAAGTATCTTAAATATATAAATTAAAACTTTATTAGTATTTAGCGAAAAATCAAACTTGGCTACTTTGAAACAGTTCTAATAAACAGTTTTTATTTAAAAAAAATTAGAGAAATAAGTGCATTATTTATGTAATACCTTTAGAACTTTGTGCTTTTCTTTTTTAATTAAATAAAATAAAATTATATTCAATAATTTATTTTTTATTTTGCTAAAAAATTTGATCATAATAAAATAATCAAAATATAGCTAACATAGTTTAATAAATTAGTTTGTATGATACTCTAATGTAATATGAATCATTATGCAACACATAATTTTTAACTCTTGTTATATAAAAAATCTCAAAACACTATGTTTTGGCCAGTATAGCAAGTTTGAAATTTGAATAGTAAAAGTAATATATTGTTTGTAAATTTTAGAAAAATATCCTGTAACTATGTATCTTTTATAACTTTATAAAAAGTAATTATGTTAGAGTAATCTTGAGCATTTCACAAAATTTCAACTTTATAATTGATCACATATTATATAGTAAAAAAAATTTTTATCTATTAATATTTATTCAAAACATATTACCCATAGATTCAATAAATTTACCTTACTGTTAAAATTCTGATTTTGTATATTATCTCTTAGGCATTTGAGGATTCTTGTAATTTTGCAATATTTATATTCTAATTTATAAATTACATTTAAACTATCACTATTAATTTCTATAACTTTATTAAAATTAATACAATGATACAGCTTATAATAAGTGATTCTGTTAAGAAAGTTTTCATAAATTTATTTAGTAATAAAAAAAATATATATTAAATTAGGGTAAATAAAAAAACAAGAAATCTAAACAATCTTAATCAGAATAATAACATGGTATTTGTTTTATATAGTTGCAAGAATAAGGTTAAAGGTTTTAAATTATTAATTGTCAAATGAGTCATTAACATTATATTATTTGATAACTCATGTGGTTTTATTGTAAAACATTACTGTGTTTTTCAAATTGCTATGATTATCAAATTTTATATATCATATATCATACAGGAATTTGGAAATCTGAAATTCAAAATAGTAATTTTTTTATTTTTTTTTTAAATAAATCTTATTTTTTTTTTAAATAAATCTTATTTTTTTTTTAAATAAATTCAATTTTTTTTTTAAATAAATCTAAATTTTTTTCTAAATAAATTAAATATATAATAGTAGATGCTGCCAATACTAAACTTAAATATTACTATAAAACTTGCTTTGAATGCAAGAAGTGTCTATACTATACAGTTGATTTGTAAAATACTACTTGTAGATGTAAATTATTCTTAGCATTAACAAAAAATAATAGAATAAATAAAGTGAGACAAGCATATATACATATCTATAAACCTACTTGAGTAGTATCCAAGTTTAAATTATTCATAAAAAAGTTATAAAATATAATTATCAAATAAATTTGAAAAAATCATTTCAGTTATTTTTTTGTAAACAATGTTACAATATTTTAATCAAATTGAATCATGACAATATTAAAGAAAAAACATATAAGTTAAAAAAAATAAAAGAATTAACGATGTATTATATTTTTTTATTACAAATATATGTATTTATTATATATTTATTAATATAGGTCATATCATTACTTCTGATATATTATATTTTATAAAATAAATTAAAAAGCTTATTTATAATATTAAATCTAATGACTGTTATTTTAAACTATATTTTTAGGATTATATATACTATAATATTAAGGTTTAAAAA